TTCCCCATTGAGTATGATGTTAGCTGTAGGTTTGTCATATATGGCCTTTATTATGTTGAGGTATGTTTCCTTTATTCCCACTTTGCTGAGAGTTTTTATTATAAATATATGCCGGATTTTGTCAAATGTTTTTTCTGAATCAATTGATATGATCATATGATTTTTATCTTTCGATTTGTCGAAGTGGTATATCATACTAATTGATTCGTGGCAACTGTACCAACCTTGTATCCCAAGAATAAATCCAACTTGATCATGGTGTATGATATTTTTAATGTATTGCTGAATTTGGTTTACTAATATTTATGTTAAGGATTTTTGCATCAATGTTCATAAGAGATATCGTTCTATAGTTCTTTTTTTGTAATATCTTTGTCTGCTTTTGCAATCAAGGTAATGGTGACATCATAAAAGAAGTTAGGGAGACTTCCTGTCTTGAATTTTTTGGAATAATTTGAGAAGAATAGGTGTTAATTCTTCTTTGAATGTTTGGATCATTTGGTCCAGGACTTTTGTTTTTTGGGGAGGTTTTTGATTACTGATTTCATTTAGTTGGTGGTAATCGGTCGGTTCAGGTTTTCTATTTCTTCTTGACTCAGTCTTGGGAGAGTGTATGTTTCTAGGAATGTATCCATTTCTTCCAGATTGTCCAATTTTTTGCCATATAATTGCTCATAGTATTTTCTTATGATCTTTTGTATTTCTGTGGAGTCTGTAGTTATTTCTCCTCTTTCATTTCTGATTTTATTTATTTGAGTCCTCTTTTTTTCCTAGATGAGTATGGTTAAGGATTTGTCAGTTTTGTTTATCTTTTCAAAGGACTATCTTTTGGTATCTAAAGCCATTTATTGACTCTCAGCACCACTGTCACTAATATTCTAATTCATTCTCTTACTCTCAGTGCATGTGCATGTGTGCACCCACACACACATACACATACATAATGTATACAAAAATGAGAAATATTTTTGAATATGAGAAATTTGCTTGTAAATGGCCCTAAACAAAAGAAATTGTGGTGGTGAGAAGGGAGTATAAAGATTATTTTCTGTATATTTTTGTTTTTTAAGAAAGTTTTCATTTTCCTGGAGTGAGAATAAATGTAAAAGTAAATAAGTAGCAGAAAGAGAAGTGTCACACAATATTACATGAGTTATTGACACATGACTGGTTTAAGTAGTAAATAATTGAAATGAAGCAGTTAAGGCCATCTGGGAATGAATAATATTAGAGTTCCCCCTCTAAAAAGGGGATAGAATTTGTTTAGTAATAATAGTTAACATGTTTCTTGAATGCTTCCTACGTGCCAATACAGTTCTAAGTGCTCATATTTATTAATCTGATAACAAATTATAAGAATAAATATTTAATTAAACTTCATTCAAATTATTTTGACTTTAAAAAATACTAATTTTGAACAATTCAACCAAATATTATTATTATCCCCATTTTACAGATGAGGAAAGTGAGGTATAAAGAAATTAAATAACCTGCCCAAGTTTAAGTGGTTAGTATGTGACCGAACTGGGGATCAAACTCATATCATCTTAGATTCATTTTAAAACACTTCACTCTGTACTCTGAGGGAAGAAGACACTATACTTGTTCAGGGTAGGGGTAGGAAGAGGGATTCTAAGTCAGAGATTAAAACCTGCTATACATGATTCTTTCTTAGTATTTCATAATATCCTTAAGAAATGGGACAATATACTTTATATATTTGTACCCTACATTCTCTACACATTGGAATATCTCAAAGGCATTTTAATAATTGCACTAAAGTTGTCAGTCATATAGATGAATATTGTTTCTCGCACCAGTAATAATCAAGTGAGTATGTGACTAGATAGAAGATATTACTGTCCCAAACATCTGCTTTCAAATTAATGTAACAGAATACAAGTTTCAAGGTCAATGGCTTTCAAACCCAGCTGGAGACCATGCCATGCGAGAGTCCTCAGGTTGGGATCCAGCTATTCTTAGGGCTGGATAGTCTATATACTTAAAGTCAGGAACAGATACTGATGTACATACACATCAGCCAAGTGAGAGGATTTTATATTACTTTTTCTGCATATATATTTATTAGCTTTGTGCTTCAAATTCGTGAAAGATTTGCAAAATAGGCTCGATAGTCCAAATCCAATTTAAAGTCAAGGCCTTTTAAATTCACAAAGTCCTAAACTCTTTAGCTTATTTTAAAAGAGGAACTTGTGTGATATTTAGTCTTGGTATTCAGGCTATACAGTTTTCTAATATATGTAGTAATGTTAGGAAGAGAAGAAATACATTCTTACTTAGACTGCTTCAATATTTTTCTCTTTGTGGCTGAACAAATCATGGTATTATGGAAATTACAAAAGATTGTAGTGAAAATACCTGATTTCTTTATTATCTGCTACTATATTGTCATATATTTCTGAATCAGATATCTGTTTTCTCTAGGCCCGATTTCTCTCTGAAGAAAGGGATATTGTTAGATGTCCCTAAATCTCACAGTTGATAATTCAATGTATTTATTTCAAATTTTTATGTTTCAATATTTCCATTTTTAAAAATATCTCCAGATCAACAAATAAGTCAAAGTGATTCATGGCCTTTAGAAAAAAAGGTATATTACACTTACATTGTCTTTTGATATTAAATTCATATTCATTAGAATTAGAGAGGTTTTCTGTCCTGCCAAGTACATTTCATCACAGTCCCTTTTCGATCCTATAAGTATTTATTGATTTCCTTTCATTAAGAACTGAAATAAAATATGTGCAGAAAGAGAAGTGTCACCTTCTCTTTAGACCAATATTATAAAATAAATTGAGAAGTACATGATAGTCGATATTGCATTAATCCTTAAGGTTCTTAGAGTGAGAGAGTAAATGTGTATTTATATGGGTTCATGTGTGTTTTCCCCTCATAACCTCTCTTGAAATGGATAAGTTAATATAGGTTTCAACTTTTATATAGATTTCAGCTTCAACACCCTCATTAAATACCTTTACATTTAGAAGAATAGCCATAATACTTCATCTATATGTAATTTTGTTTTAACATTGGGCTTGTTAGTATGGAGATCAAACTTTTTGGGAAGAAATAAAAAGTTTTTCAAGAACAATTGGTTGTAAAAGTAATAGAGTCTACTATCACTTTAGTAACTTCTATGTACCCAGCATAAATGGATTGCAACAGCACAGGATTTTGTAATTGCATTTTAGATTGGAGCCCTGTTCTTCTCTAAGGAATTCTCTTATTCTCTGCTTTAAGCAATAAGTAAAGTTTCTTGAAGATATGAAATACAATTTGACTTTTACCAACTAAGTGCAGAGGTGACGGAAAAAAAAAGAGTAATAGCGTGGTGTAAAAGAGGACTAGTTTAAGGGTCAGAGGCTAGGACTCTCATCGTAAGTTTTCTACTGTTTGCCTAGGTTACCTTTGGGCCAGCCACCTGGTTTCTTGGAGCCTCAGTATGCTCTACTAGAAAATGTGATAATAATGTTCACTGTCCTTTCCTGATCCATCATTCTATGAGTTGATACTTCCAGGTGAAGGTAGCAAATAGGTCAGATTGTTCCAGTATTCATGGGTCTCTTTAGTCTCATTTTCTGTGAAATTGTTTTATTTCTCTTTCTCTAGCACACTAAGGTAAGTTGGAACTTTCCATCCTGGCTGGGCATTCTTCCCAAGGTACCTAATTAGAAATAGTGCCTGCTACAGAGAGTGAAAGGCATGGAAGGAATCTGGAAGAACATCAATAACTCCCTTATTTTAGGGATAATGAAATTGTCCCTGAGCAGTTTGGTGACTTTCCATTCAGTCCAACAACTCCTAAAGCAAAGGAACAGATTTCTAATATAGGCTTTTCTGATTCTGTCATGAAAAGAATACTAGGACAACTTCCTTATTTCATCCTTTTATTTAAAACATAGTAACCTAATTATAATGAATTAGACTGTTATAATTTTTGGAAACATGTACTATTGGGTTGTTACAAGTATATATATTTTACAAGTATATATATAATATATATATATTTTAATTAAGTTTATTGGGGTAACATTGGTTAATACAATTATATAATTTTCAGGTGTACATTATAAATTGACATCTATATATTCTATTGTGTGATTGCCACCCAAAGTCCAGTTTCCTTCAGCTACCATATATTTGATCCCCTTTCCACACTTCACCCTCTCCCTTCCTCCCTATATTTGACTCCCCTTACCTCGTCTATCTCTTTCCTCCTACCGTCTGATAACCACCAGTCCATTGTCCATGTCCCTGAGTCTCTGTTTGTTTGTCCTATTCATTTGTTGCTTTTAGGTTTATATCCCACACATAAATGATATCATGTGATTTTCAACTTTTTCTGTCTGGCTTATTTCACTTAGCATGATTATCTTGAGGTCCTAGTATATTGAGTTAAGGAAGCCATATTGAGCAGGATTTTAAAGGGAGGAAGGCATATTTATGTTTTTTATCCAGAAGTGTTTGTTTTAATAATTTAATAAGCATTAAGTGATCATTCCCTGAAGTGCTCAACTTTTGAAGAAAAGGAAAAAGCTTCCCATACCACTAGATTTTTCTCTCAGGTTTTCTATTTTGTCTCATCAATCCAACTCACAGAGGGCAGAAGAAAAGTTAATGTTCTACCTGATAAAAATTTTTTATAACAGTTTTAATAAAATTCACTTAATAAATCATGTTACTAACTGTTCCAATATTGCCATAGGGTATCTCTAAAGCTTGCCAGTGGTTGGCTTTAAGATCAACAGAAGTGTGAGCAGTATAATACACTGATTTTTGTTGTAAAAGGTTAACTAAGGAGGATGCTATAATAATTTGTCGAAACATTTCTGTTGCAAGTATGTGGGAATGTTATAAGGATTTCGAGTACAAGGAACTTGCACATGATCTTTTCATTGGCTAACTATTGGTTATAAACTCCCAGAAGTACCCATATTTACTCCAAAGAAATAACCCAGACTTGTTTTCTTTTTTTATAGGAAGTTACTCTTGAAGAAGGTACAACTGCCTTTAAAAATTGGGTTAAAACAGGCACAGCAGTTTACAGACAGTTTTGGATCTTTGATGTGCAAAATCCACAGGAAGTGATAATTAACAGCAGCACTATTAAAGTTAAGCAAAGAGGTCCTTATA